GAATCGAAAATAATCGTCGAGGCAAACTTTGTTGGTTCTTCCAAACGTATGATAGAAAATGTATATTTCTACCAATGTAGGTAGATTAAGTTTTATTTCGGTAGCTTTAACTTTTTATTAATTCTCAATTGAACTTTTCTTCTAATTTTAAAAATTGGAAAAAGGTATATAAGGAGTAAATTAAATTGAGATTGAAGTTAATGTATATTGCGGTAGAAATGGACCAAGTGAAGTAGAATCAATTGATCGTCGGTTAAAATTGTGAGGGTTCTTTCACCAATTCCAATTAGCGCTAATCAATAATTAACTCAATCATCACGATTGCCAACGTGAGAACTGAACAGTTTGTCAGAAAAGGAAGAGAGAGGAGAAGTTTTGGTTCATTAAATTGCTATTAGCATTTCTGCGAGTTGACTATCGATTAACTTTAATCAAAGGTTGGTGAAAGAAGCCCTGAATGTGCGGAGAAGAAAATGAGATTTGAGCGTCTCCGGAAAGTGAAAACTATAATTTTAGGTGAATTTTACACGCGAAGTAAAGAGAATTTATCATACGATTAATTATTTAATGCAAGATTGTTGTATTTTTGTATGCTTATTTGATAGAAAAACTGGGTTACGCTTTGGTAATGGACCTGGCTGGTATATCCATTAGTGCGCTTCGCGAAGATATAATTAAAGTCGCCGCACTTCACAATAACTCGTACAGAGAGGCGGCTAAAAAGAGAAGTGCGTTACTACGTGATCTTCCGATCGGTCCCGGAGAATTAGCCACGTGGTGGGTCGAACACGTTGCCAAACATGGCGGAGCTGATCATTTGAAAAGTTCAATTCGGTAATATCATTTTTTTTTATAATTATTATTAAATATACCGATTTCTTATAATAAATATGCATATGAATATTACGAATACTCATTCGAGCAATGGATAATTCTGCTAAGTTTTGAAAGATTCGTTGACAATTCTTCTCATTTAAATTGCAAAGCAACACCCTCCAGGCCAAGAATTTAAAAACATTCTATAGATCCAATAACTGTTATTAGATCTGAAGAATTTATTATTAAAGACGGAATATTATTATAAATATTTTAGTACGTAAAAATGTTAATTTTAATAAAGTACTTTTAAACTTTTGATCTGGAGTGTAGATAATTAATATGGAGTATTTTTGATGAACTATTGCGCGAACTATTCTTGTGAATTATAGAGTCTACAGAAATTTTATCTTGTTTCTTTTATAACGAATATATAACGAGAGGACAAAATTTATTGCAAACGTTTAAATTACGTTATTAGATATGTTGCCGATCAAAGTGAGGAAATGAAGTATAAAATTAAATATAATATTTCACAGGTACATGAGCGTGTTCCATTATTACAGCGTGGACGTCGTGCTGTTTTATATATTGAGTTTAATTCTGATAATTTATGGACTCAAAAAATTATTCTGGCGAGCGGTAATCGGTCAGGATGTCTTGAAAAAGAAAATAGATTGACGGATAATTCTGTGAGATTCTCTGCTAAATTTATTTTATTTATTGTAGAAAATAGGATGTGTCCTCTTAATGATATGGTAAGTATTGGAACTAAATAGAGATTATATAAGTCGAAGAATATTTTCGACTTTTTAAGATCTCTAATATATTTTTGTAAGTTGTAATTATAAATTGCTTGTAATTATAGCTTAGTTATTACGCTATCGATCGCTATTTGTAATTATACGATTTATGATAAATTTCTTTTACTGTATACTATCTGTAATGTGTCTACGTGACAAACTAAAAGATTTATACGTGTATGAAATAAGAGACACTTTTATGTGTATGTACTGTAGTGTTTTCATTGAATGAGAGAGAGAGAGAGAGAGAGAGAGAGAGAGGAGAGAGAAATTCATTAGCCGCTGATACAATAGGAACCTACTTTTCAGAAGATGTTAAATCCATTCTACAATTGTATGAACGTAGTTGTAATTGTAAGAATTGATTAACATTACATTCGAATATTTTCCTTATATTAGACTGTGAGGTTAAATTTGAATGTGAGATAAGCAATTCTTACAATTACAATCACTTACAACTACACTTACGCAATTACATTGCGTATGAGTTTTACAGCTAATAAATATTGCAACCATTCTTTCTACGTTATCCTATATACTCTATTTTATAAAAATTAACAAATTAAGTCTCATAATCTATTTTCATTAAAATTTCAACTTGACGCGACAATTAACATCTATATCGTAATGAAAAAGTTTATTATCCTAAACCAATTTTAATAAAGTAAATCAACAATTATTAAATTCTGTAATCGACAAGTTGTTAAATAAACTTATAAAATAATTAGTAAAGCGCTGAATAAAATAGATTTATACAATAGAAGGATAGCAACATGTTCGAACGCCATCGTACTTTTTTAAACAGAATTGTTTGATATTTCAAATTTAGCGAGAAAATTGTTCTGACGAAAATATTCCTGACGAAAATCAATACGCATAATAATTAACTAATAGAACCTTGATGGAAGGAAATACACACAAAGAAAGATGTCAAAGATTAACGGATGTGTCTACATATAAAGAGCGCTTCGAAGGATTAATAACGTTGATGTACAAACATAGAGAATCGCAGGGCTTTATGCACACATGTTCATGTGGCAAGCCGCAGTTTGTGCAAACGTATGCAGAAACTGGCGATTGGCCTGGAGCAAGTTTGCTATATTCGATGAAGGAGGAAGTGTTGTCGTGTAGAAAAAAAAGCCGGTCGCGAGCTTGGGAAAAGGGTGCCAGATGGTCGAGGGCGGAAGTGATCGGAAAGAAGGCAGGCCAGATGTTCATCGAGTTCAACGATGCCAATTTATTTACGCCTGTTTAAATATATTTTATCGAAAGATAACAGAAAATATCCAGGTTATCACGGAGGTCACGGCGCCAGGTATGCCAATTGGCTTTATCGATTTTTCGCGACACAGTAGCGCAATGAAAATAATCGTTACCTGACATCGTTGGCGTGATAAAATGAAATATAGTAAATAGATCGCGAATGGGAGATTCAAGAACTCTCGACAAAAAGGAAGTAGTACTAATCAGAAAATAATGATCACTCGGAATTTAATTGGTATTGCCTCTCGGCTACAATTTGCTTTTAAATTTCATTTTAATCGTATTCATTTATGTTCTCCTGGTACATTCAAGATAACGCCAGAAATTGGTATGAAAGTTTGATTATAAGCGAACATCTTAGTTGCTAAACTTTGTTAAATTCATGGCATTAATTTGCGGAATTTCTTGTAATTTCCATGTATGCTGGTTCTCCCGTTCTTCCAGAATTCCATTACTATTCATGACATGTAAGAACGTCAGGTGTAAAATTACGCATAATTGCTGAATATAATTTGGAGCAAAGTTCTGGCAAATTTTTAATAACGGCTTTATATTGACTTATAAAATTTCAGACTAATTTCTGATTGGTCACAATCGTTATTATTTCACCTAATCTTTTTACATCATGTTAATTCTCATAAAGAGAACTTTTATCATCATTTCTATCAAAAATTAATTTCAATCTCGTTATCTTCTTTAATTGCTCGTTATCTTCTTCTAATTTTTTTAAACTGAAAAAAAGGATAAAAAATAAGTTAAGAGATTAAAATTAATCTGCATCTGATGAACATTCAAAATCACCTTTTCAAAATAACAAGCAATGCATTTTCAAATGTACAAGAATGATGCAAATGATTTGTCGTTTCGCCATCGAGCTTTAGTATTTACATAAAGTTAGAAGGCTGAAATTTTTTAGCAGATTGACAGTTTGCTCTCCGAATAAAAAAAAAAAAGAAATATTGACGTCCCATGGCGAATTCGCTTCGATTACGTCGAGAGCTCATTCTCGACTTTATTTGAGCACGACGAATCTTTAGTATCAATCCAGCGTAATAACGCAATGAAACGCTTGATCGTCCTCTCAATTTCACCTCGTTGAGGATCGAGGCATCCGTCGAATCGACGATTGTTAAGAAAAACGCCGGAGATGATTCACGGTGGCGACCGCGCGGCGACGCTCGCGTCGACGCTCCTCCCCGCGACTCCGTGGGACGTCCCTCACAGTGTGCCGTTGCGTTCGCGGCTATGTTCCGGTCGCGTCGGTCCCATCCAGTGGCTACAATCGCGGCTCGATCAGTAGCAGCTGACTCGCTGGTCGGAGTGTACGTTGTTGCGCCGCCTACTCGTCGAAGCGAGCCGCGCACGCGCGCGCCCGCACGCCCGCCCGCCCGCGTTCGTTCGACGGCGAGAGAGTTTACTCGCGTACAAATGAAAGTCGTCCGAGGACCAAGATAGTGTGCGCGTCGTCGTGCCTGCCAGACTGTTCATTCTGTGTCAGTGCTCTGTGCGTGTGCTGTGCGTGTCCTCTCTCTCTCTCTCTCTCTCTCTCTCTCTCTCTCTCTCTCTCTCTCTCTCTCT